ACTGAGCAGCCATAGCTTTCGTGGATGTGTGTGAAACTGGAAATGATTGAGCACCTCTGACCAGGCAAGTCATTTTCACTTCAAGGCTCATACTTGGACTAAGGATTTTGCTTCTGCTAAGGTTCCTATATGCCACTGGACTAACATTCAGAGATCAATGTAGAGAGATCAAGGCTCTCAGTGAGATCTTCTTCCAGTCCGTACACATATCTGGGATTGCTCTGATCAAGTTGCAGCACCTCACACTCGGCCTTCTTGAACTTCATTCAGTTCATGCAGGCCCATTTATCAAACCTGTCTGTGTCCCTTTGGGTTACATCCCTTTCTTTTGCAATAAAAAAAAACATCAGCCATGTGACAGCATGCTCATGGCATGAGCAGGCAGCGTGCAAGATATAAGCCACATACCATGAGACACAAGCAATGCATCACGTGCCACATATAAGCCACATGCAGTGAGCCCTACCCTGTGAAGAAAGGCTGAGGGAGCTGGGCTTGTTCAGCCTGGAGAAGTGAGAAGGTTCCAGGGAGAAATCATTGTGGCCTTATAGTACTTATAAGGCTTTTAAAGAAGAGGGAGACAAACTTTTTATGTGGTCTGATAGTAATAGGACAAAGAGAAATGGTTTTATACTAAAAGAGAGGAGATTTAGGTTAGATGTTAGGAGGAATTTATTTATTCAGAAGGTGATGAGGCAGTGGCACAGCTGCCCAGAGAAGCTGTGGGTGCCCCATCCCTGGAGCTGTTCAAGGCCAGGTTGGATGGGGCTCTGGGCAGTCTGAGCTGATGGGTGGCAGCCCTGCCCATGGCAGTGGATTAGAACTGGATGGATCTTAAGATCTTGTCAAGTCCCAGGCATTATATGATTCTATCATTCTGTGCAGAACCTGTCGCAAACTCTGGTACATAGGTAATGGGAAGAGGGGGAAAAAAAAAAAAAAAAGGGAAAATGAATTTAGACTACATACCACTGGACAAATATTGTATGCTATCCCAAGCACTTTCTGACTTTCTTGGAAACTAAATAAGGCAGTTTGACCTGCTGCTGCAGACATGCTATGCTTTCAGAAGCTGTGTGTGGAATTCCCCAAAACTATTCTACATTAAGTGCCAAACATTAGAGAAAGTTTAAAGAAGTGTCGGCACTTAGAAGATCACATCAGGTACAAAATCCAGACCTGTTCAAACTCAAGTCTTCAATTCAGCTTTTATATCAAAACTAGTAATAAAGAAATCTGAGTTTGGATTGTGCTTGGTACAAAATTCAAACTTTCTTTTGCTTAAACTATTAATAATGCAGAAGCAAGAATAAAAGAGAATTTTGAAAATGTGCTACTGCATAATCTCATACCTGAGATTAGCAGTATAACTTCAATATTATTCCTTTTAGACAAATTTCCAACAATGAAGGATATTGTCACCAAAACTCTAGGTGCATCCTCACCAGTGCAGAACAGAATGGAATTGTCACCTCCCTTGGACCTGCTGGCAAAGCTGACATCTTTCATAAAGATAGACATCTGTTTCTCCATTAAAAAATAATAATTTTAATAAGAATGTATTGGCCCTTACAGGAACATGCATTTTCATCTTTGACATTTTCTCCCAAACCACACAAGGTATTATTGACTGCCGTTATTTACAGTTTTCAGCTTTTGGACATCCAACATTGCAGCTGAATAAATAAGTTATGTGACATTCTTCCCTGTACCAGTTCACAAGGCTCAAATGTGTATAAATACATGACGGAAAGAGAAAAGACTTCAAGATGGCTGTATATCTGAAACTTTCTGTTATCAACTTATATGTGATGTTCATGAGAATTTCATATGAACAAATGATATCGGTTTCATACGACCCATTGACTCATCCCATGAAAATCTGTGAAATTCTTAATATTGTTTCATAAGTAAAACTGAAAACTTCCTTTTATTTTCCCATTGTAAAACAATACCCTGCTGGCTTTAGCATTCAGCTCTCATTTCCTACTACTACATTCATTGTGCCAAAACATGCTCTTTTCAAAAGATGTCTACTAACTCCTGTCTGCTGAGGACTATCATTTTTGTGGACATAATTAATTATTCATTGACACAGAGCCTTGGATTTGCCTCTCCCTAAATTACAGAACCACCCACAGAACAATCTCAAAGCTACAAGGACAGCTTCCATACAGTTCATAAAGCTTTACACCTTGAGTTACAGCTCCAGCAGGAGAGATTAAGAGACTATCTGAACACTGCGTTGAATGGAAAGCTCTTTAACAAGGTGGGAGATCTACTGTCAATCCCCCTGTTGTGATGAGTACTAGCTTCTAAAAAGATGCTAGCACCTTTTCATGGCTTCTCTGGAACTAGCTGGGTTCAATCAGGGATGAATTTAGAGCAGAAACTCTCCCATCATGTTATACTTACGTATGTATTTTAGAATACTAACTGCTAAATGGACTTGAATATAAATGAACTGTCACTGTGGGAGAATAGTTGAAATAATCTTGGATGTACAGATAATATTGTCTCAACTGTGAACCCTGCTTTAGAATCTCATTTCAGTCTGTACCTAAAAATCTATATGTCAAAAGAAAATATCCTGAGTGCCATCCACAAACTATAACATGGCACAAAAAAAAGCCATATTTCTATATGATAGAGCTACTTCTAATTTTCCCATTAGACCAAACGACATCATAAAGAATATCTGCCAACAACGTGATATAAAACTGTACCATGCATCATGAAAAATAATTGCAATTCAATTACTCCTGAATTATAAAACCGTCAAATAGGTGCAATAAGACAAGAGCCTTACAACATATGAAAAACTGCTTAGCATAGATAATTATATATGTTTGAACAAAATCCCCAAAATAAAAGATGTGCAGTTTGATGGAACAGGGTAATCATGCCAAAATAATTTTCATTCATAGCAAGGGTTTGAGGATCAGCAATTTTAAAACCACTTCCCTGAAAAAAATAAAGTAAATTAGCAAATCTTTCTGTCTAACTATTGGTAGAGGGCATACTCAGCAACAAGATAAAAAACTATTTTCTTGCCTCTATCACCTTCTTCCTTAGAATCTGCTCAATGTCACTGCTTAAAATCATCTTGTACAACAGCCTCACTGAAATCAGGGTCACAAGCAGCAGCACGTCACATTGGGTTCTGAAGATCTCCAAAGATGGGGACTCTGCAACCTTTCTGCGTAACCTCTACCAATGTTTGAGAACCACATTTTTTACTTATGTTCAAAATTATGTTTGTTTTTGTCTTTTTGTCCTCTGCCCGTTCTCCTGTCACCAGGCCCCACTGAAAAAAAGCCTCGACCAATCTTATTTAGTCCCCCCACATCACATAGTTATGTATGCTTATCAGAATTCCCTGAGCATTCTCCAAGCCAAGCAGTCCCAGCTCTCTCAGTCTCTCTTGAAGGAAAATGCTCCAGACCCTTCATCATTTTCACGACCCTTCATTGGGTTCTCTCCAGTGTGTCCACTTTTGTAGTCTCCTGTACTTGCGCTTCCTTAAGTACTTAATGATGCACCTTGTCACCTGTTTTGGTACTTTTGCACGTTAGGCTTAATAGTGTCTAAAAATACATATAAAAATATAAATGTAAATATATAAGTACTATATATATAATATATATAAATAAATATTATATATTTTGTCTTTTTGTAATTCTGTACATCTGAATTAGAACACCACTGTAAATTTTAGTGAATTAAACTCTTAGCACCTCAGTGAAGTAATTCAATTTATTTCTATTTTCAAGATGGAGAGAGAAAGATCCCAGCAAACATGGCTTGCGTACAACCACAGAGGCAGTCTGATCACAGGGGCAGAAATAGGACTCAGGGAGAAATGGCTAAAGCACTCTTTCATAGGACAAGCTGAGAATAGAAAGACCTTCACATCAAAGCTCTGTGCTACACTCTGAATTAAGAAGAATATGGCTTCCCTAGAACCATTAAATTATGTCTACAAAAGAAAAAAAAAATAATAAACACATTTTTTGAAATATAGCTATTCTCTACATTAAATCTTTCACCTTGGTCTTGCCCCTTCACAAACAAAAGCTGCTGCAGAACAAGATAGTGGCTATGACATCTGTCCCACAGCAAGGCAGAACTGAGCTCCCAGTTGCCTGCAGTCTGTGCAAACTGACAAGTGTACTTGTACAGTGTGTAACAGATCTTTATAAAACACAGAAGAGTTTTATTAGATTTGCTAATCTAACAGATTTCACAAATAAGCCTTCTCATTCCTGATGACTGCATTTCACTTTCTTAATTGATCTTTTATGTTATTTACAGAGTGCTTAGGTTTTGTTTGCATTTGTTCTTCTGGTATGTAGTCAAACAAAAATGCAGGCAAACATTATCCTGACTTTTTAGTAATTCTCACAAAGTTCTTCAGAGGCATCAGATGCAGGCTTCAAATGCTGTGAACTACAAGACAAAACAAGACCATCATAACCTATAATTGCTTCCAGTTCATCTCAGTTCTGATTGAAGGCTGTCTGCACAAAAATCTCTGAAATAGTTGTCTAAGGTAAGATTTTAAACAGAAATTGTTTCATAATCCTCCCCATGAAATAAGATATTGCTCAAAGTGATAAAAACATATGGAGAAAAAAGACAAAAAATAAAAGAAAAAAACAAAGGCAGTTCAAATTGAAATTAAATCTACATTTTAAATTTTTGTTCTATGTAGTTTTACTACATCTTTCATTAAGAGTAGGCTAAGAGAATATCAGGTGATTCAAGGAGAACTCAATTAAAACCATGTCATGGAATACCCTAATAGACCACCCATATCTGCTACAGATGTGATTAAATAACTAGATAAAGAAAGACCACAGTGTTTTCACTGAGGACGTCATTAACTCATTTGATGATTGTTACCTGTGACTATCAGGATCACCACGCCTTTAATAGTCACATGCAAAGGTAATTCAGAATAAACAACAATGGAAACAATCACCACTGCCTCCTTTCAGTGGCATATATAAAGCTCAGCCAATTATTTCCTTTCCCTTGTTTGTTATCCAAAGTTAGAGTAAATGAAACTACATGAAGTCTAAGATACTGATATTTTAGCTAGCAACCTTGCTGTCTCTAGTAGTTTCCATGATATGGTTCACTTTGAATTATTAGCACCCATGAGAACAGGTAAACTTTGCACTTTTTAAGAGAAAAATAGCTTGTAGAAAACTAGGCTATTTTATACTGAAGTGTCTGTGGTAGTAAGGGTGTGTTTATCCTGGTGTTTTCTGTCTGATTCTAGTATTTCCTTAAAGGCTATATTTCCTAAAAAAAAAAAGTAAAGTAAGGAAATAACATTTTCATATTTTCTTTCTGAACAGTTAAATGAGAGTATCTCTGTGCAGTGGAAGACATACATACCTTTTGGTCTACAAGCAGTTTTTACTTGTTTCGATTTGGATTTGGCTTCATTAGGCTTTAGTGCGGTTGGCTGAATTACAGGTGATTTCTAGGTTGGATTTCTCTGCTGGGTTTGTCCAAATGAAAATCTTTATAGCTACTATAGGTGAAAAGACAGAAGCAGTTCTTGGTTGTGTTACATGTCATGGCTATTTTCATCCTCATTTGAACATCTCTGACAAAAATTTCTTTAGTGTTTGAATTCTGGCTTTAGACTTTTACTCAATTTTAAAAATATATATTTTAGAATTATTTTAGGGTACAATGTTTTGTTATGTAGACCCAAGTTTGTAATTTTCAAGGCTTTGTGTTTAACTCAGAGTCTTTTGAAACAAGACAAGGAAGTAAACTAGAATTTGGCAGTAGCATTTTATTTGGAGGTACTCTAGAAATCTATCTTTATCAATACTGGTTATATACTATTGTGCATCAGGTTGGGGATGTAGGAGTCTTAATATGTCTGAGGAGGTAAAATGAAAGTAGTTATATAGACATATAGAAAAATACGACACAAAAATGCTGAGGCATTGAGAAATCTTCTTACAGAAGTACACCTGATTTACCACTGCTTTGCAACATGCATATGCATTTATGTTTATCTAAAGTACTTCTCATACTTCTTCGGGAGCGACAGTTTCAAAAAGGTGATAGTCATCTTAATGAGCTCCATGAAACAAATAAACTGATTTGGGAAATCTGCAAACTTTTCTGTGGATGAGAGGCACAAGGAGCATTATAAATCACTGTAGCTTTGTCTCATCAGAACTATTATTTAAGCTAGTGATTGCTTTTACTGGGGAGAAATTGTATGTGCTCTTGTCTGATACGATGTATTGCCAAACAATATTTGGTTAGAAAAGCAGTTTTGGTTTATGTTGCTTTCAGATTACTTTTATTCTTTGCTAATACATTCAACTAATTTCCTTTTGAAATTTGATTCTCTAACATAAATGTAGTTGCATTATTTATTTTTATAATTAACGTATCTGAATTTCAACTAAATATAACAAATCTAATAAGTTAGATGCTATTAACTCTTTTTTAAGAAAAAACTGCGATTTTTCATCTGTTGCTTATTTAAAGCTCCAGTTTACTATATCCAAATTATTTTATTGATTTATTATTTAAATTCTGCTGATGATGTTGGCTTTTCTTTTTAAACCTTTATTTATTTAATTTAAACCTTTACCTTTAACATACAAATTTACCTTTAACGTACAAATAGAGTTGTATATACTGACTCAGGTAATTTAACAGATAACTTACATTGGGAACGGATTAATGAATGGATTAATTAAATAGGCTGTGTTCCTGAATGTTGCTAAATTCAGAAGTTGAAATGTTGGTATGTCTCTGATTAATTTATTTATTGGAAACTCTTTGATCCTATATGTAATAGCACAAAAGTGACTGGTGCCCTACGAAATTGTAGTGGTAAAGTGTGGAATTCAAAGTGAGAGTCTTACCAGTTTGCTAATTACAGTGGAGGGGAACAGAAGTATACCTGTAACTTAAGCTGTCCTCCTGAGTCCTAGTCAAAGAAGTCAAGCATGCCCGGTGCAGGCAGTGGTGATGTTCAAGAGAAGCAGCTTACAGCTGACACCGAAAAGGAGAAAAACCTGCTACCTGGTAGAAGAAACAATGCTGGAAACCTGACTCTGCCTGAGAAGAAAGTCCAGGAGGCTATTTGTGTGCTGCTGGTGGAGCTGTGTGAGAGGTTCACATTCTTTGGCATCGTCTGCAATATGATCCTCTTCTGCACTGTCAGACTTGGCTATCGCAACTACCAGGCTGCCATTGTAAATATGTGCTTTGTGGGCACCTCCATGCTGACACCAGTGCTGGCTGGCTGGCTCGCTGAGTGCCTTGTGGGGCGGATCAAGCTGGTGTGCATCTGCATGTTTCTACACTTCCTAGGTAGGTGACACCCAGGTGTCCTTTAATGCTACAATACTTCTGTTACAGAAATGCATTGTTGAACGCTGAAATTCAATAATTTTCTCCAAGCTAATGGCCAGTTTTGCTCATAACCAATTACTTCATTTTTTTCCTCTATGAAACATTTTGCAGTTTTCTGCCTATGTATTTTTGTGAGGTAATAGGTAGAGCAAGACCAAGAAGCATTTTCATGTATGTCTTATGGAGTAGTGGGTATGTGATCTTTACTTCTCTAAAGTGGCTTAGCTCTCAAGAATCCAGTTGCTCGGCTCTTTCTTAGAACTTTTGCATCTTTTGTTGCTAGTGTTTAGGACAAATGTGATGTTTTAGACGGAGTTTGAGAAAGAGAATGGAAAGCATTTCCCAGCTGTTGGTAGTAACATTTCTATTGTATGTGCAGACATGACTGTTGTAGCTGGATAAGTGGGAAAGATGCATTTAAGCACACATCAGTATAAACAAACATTGCAGTGAGTAGAGAGGATATATCCTAATACTTATATTGAGAGCTTGCTTTCTATCAGAAATCCAAATCTTCCCCAACTGTTCTTTTGGAGATCTTCAATGCAAAAAAAAATCTCCAAAACTGTTTAAACTAAATAGGAACATTTTGCAGCAGTCAGTGCATTTCAGAAGTGGTGATTGTTTTGTTGGGTTAACTGAATGCTTCTAAACTGTAAGGGTTTGATGCACAACTGTAGTCTTAAACCTTGGCTAATGTCAAGCTGATGTTGTTTCAATTCACTATATTTTGTCTCCAGTTAAAGCCCAGATAATCTGTAGCTGACCAAATCTCAGACTTGCTTTGCAGACTAGTAAACTGGTAAATACAATTCATGGCAGTGCTTCTGTAAGTTCCCAAAAACATTTTTCCCATGAAGCTGCAACAGAAAACCAGAACAGCTAAAAAAACAACAAAAAGTAAAATCTTTGAGACTTTCTTTGTTAAATCATAGACCTCATTAAAGACTCAGTTTAAATAATTTTTTAAAATCTTAATTATTCCACAATGGGGAGGCTTTTTTGCTCTTTTAATTTCTTTGCTGGGCAGTTACATGCCTTACCTGACCCTTGCTGGCTAGTGGAGAGCTACTGCCCTCTACATACAAGAAATGGGGAAAGCACAATGGGAGGAGTTTCATTTCCAGGATAAGCTCTTAGGTATACTGAAGGACCTAAATCCTTGCAAGCGAATTAGAGAAAATTGCTTTCATAGAGGCTCATAGTGGTGTTCTCTTTCTAGCTCTCTGCAGAAGTAAGGCCCTTCCTCTTCACTCTCATCTGTTGTCTTCTGATTTCTCGTCTTTTCAACATAATTGCTTACAAATTCATATTTATCAGTCTGACTTTATTTCAAATAATGATTTCCTTCCGATTCCAGGCACAGCCCTGCTACCCATTGTGGCTTTCCCTTTTGAAGATATCTACATTGACAAACGACATATTCTTCTTCATACACTAACCAAAAAGGAGCAGAAAATAGTGTTCTACTTTGCACTACTCACAGCTAGCCTGGGAATAGGGGGCATAAGAGCTATAGTTTGTCCACTAAGTGCATACAACCTTGAGAACTGCGGACCGAAGGAACTTCTTTCTTTTTTCAACTGGTTAGTAATTTTACAACAGCTAATTATCTGTAGAGAATGATACTGCATTGCTTTGAAATTCCCTGTAGACTTGCAAGGCATTATTGTTGTTATTTACTGGGTTTTAAACTGGAGAACATTTAAGCTTTGGAATAGTTTTCGAGAATTTATGTAAAAACCTTTGGTACAGTTCTTGCTTCCCAGGACCAACTGGCGGTCATCTATTTTGATCTTCAGTAGTAATCTTCAGTCAAGAACCAGGATTGCATAACTTGCTCAAGTACTCAGACTTAGTGTCCTGCTGCTGTTACGAAAACCAATGGAATACATTGTTCTACAGCTAATGTATCTATAATTTGATTTAATTTTGCTAATAATCCCTGACTATGACAAATTTCAGTGATATATTAGAATTTGCATTGGAGTAAATTTTTAGAAATTACAGGTAGCAATAGAGTCTGCTGGTTTATTGGAACTGAAGATTGCTGGTAGACTCTGCTGATATCAGTGGTAAGAAAATGATATATGTCGGATCTTGCACTCAGAACATTTGGTATCAGATAAAGCACTTTACATTAGATTTCATTTACAATATCTCATTTTTCAGGAAAATTTGGAGGAAAAATTGAAGAGGTAAAATAGTTTCTAAAAATCAGTTTGTTTTTTTTTTTTCAAATTAATTATTTGTTTCTGTGTCGGGGGATCAGTTTTGGTCATGTTTGCCTTCATTTATTGCTTTGTAGCACTAAACATTCACCTGGACCTTCTGGTTAAACTGTAGGGAAGAATCAAAGAAGTTATCAGTGGGAACTTCAAGACTTCTGCTTTGAGTCAGAGTGAAATAAAGTCTAGAACTGTCCCCTTTCCTGTCCTTTCCCTATATACACACACTTAATAAAATCAAAATTAGCATATTGTCATACTGACAACAAAACACGGAGGAGTCAATGCAGATCTTTGTGAATCCGATTTTTATTCCTTTGAGAGTAGCTCTCCTGGCTGTTCTTTTTTCCTCCAATTATGTTAGTATCAGAGAATTCTGAATTAAATCCAAACTTCAGTGAATAAAGCAGCTTTACCAAAGGTGGATGAGACTTTTTAGTTCTGCAGAGCAGATTCTGCCTCCCTGACCTGCCCATAGGAGAGAAGAAAAAAAATCTTTTTACTCTATTCTGAGTTTTAATCCTTAATTAGCAACATCATTTTGATTAAATAAGACTCTAGGGGATTAAGACTGGAGTGCAATCAGTTGTTCTGAAAGATAGCGCTGGAGAATTTATTGTACTGTGGTCTTAGCCATTCAGAATTGTGTTTAATCAAAGTGACATTTCTCAGTGTTGATTACAAAGAAGACATAATCTGAATAAAAAGTTCCTTGGGTGAAATCCAAGTGGGTTATTTCTTGGGGCTTTGGAAATATTAAGAAAGGCACATGTGTGTTTTTTGCAATGGCATCTGAAAAAGGGTCTATTTAATTGCTATCTCAAGATTTTAAAAATGAGGTTATATTCTTAGTGGTCTTAATCTCATTACGACCTCTCAGAATATAATCATTTTCTCTTGGTAGAGTGTTTTTTTTCTTGGTAGATATTTGTCACAGGATTGAATTTTGAAATTATAGATATAAAAGGTGATTGCATACTTCTGATGAGTAAGAGCTTATGTCCTTAGCCACATTCTGTTTAAAAGAAAATCATACTTACTAAGTTAAAGGTAGGTTTTAAATGAAATGGCGAAGTATAAACCTGCAACTACCTGCTGTTTAATTCAATTCCTGAAGAAGATTGCTTTGCACATCTAGGACCTGCTTCTAACTTCCAAAATGCTCTGTGGCTGTTCCCTCTTAAATTCTTTATGGTGGCAGAGAATAAGAGCGAAGGGTACACAATTTAGACAAAGGATGGCAGCTAGCAGTGTTGTCTTGTCTTACTGATCTGCTACAAAAGAAGGCAGGTAATGTTGGAACTATAGTATTTCTCTTCTTTCCTAGTCTCTTCTAAGTCACTTTTCTTTCCATTTACAGTGAATTCATTTCTACTGTCAATTCAGGACACTTTAAATTAAATAATTATTCTACCCCTTTTATCTTTTTCACTTTCTCTTTATTGAGAACTCTGATATGATTCTAAATAAAATTAATCTCCTCCTAAAAAGTTGTACAGGTAAATATGTGGTTTGGATACTGGACCACAAGTCCAAGTATGTGAAATATCTGGGTCTGAGTTTGGATTGAAACTTAAAGTCATCTGGCTCAATCAATTTAAAAAAATTAAGTAGTGTTATAAGAGACAGAAAACATATTCCATTTTCAGAATTATTAAAAGTGACAAAACTGAATTTTGGAATATTTTCAAGTGTTTTTCCTCTAGATCTGTCTTTGTTCAGCACTTGTTGACCTCTTTCTGACTACTGTTATAGTAAGTGAAAGCTTTTCAAGTACAGTAACAATGCTTTTAAGTCACCTGGGTATTACTACTTCAGTTGTTGTAATGAATATATTCCCATAATATATTCTAGTAAGATCTTTTTTCTAGACATTTCATGATAATGTTTTTGTTTATATCAGAAATGTGCTCTTGAGTTGAAATCAGAGTGCAGAAGCTGAGTTCTTTCAGAATATATAACCACAAAGTCTATGGTGTATTTGGTACTCTCAAGCCAATAGCAAACTTTGAGCCCACAGGATCAGACTAAAACAAATACAAAGTAAAGTCCTTGGCTAGACACACTGGGTTCTTAACACAAGATATTTGGCTCTACAGATTCATTCCTCTTGTATTTTGCCCCTTTCAGAAGCAGATTTTACTTAAAGGATTTGCCGGAGAATATGTTGCCATTTTGGAAAGAGATCTTAAAGCATAAGACTCTCAAAAGAATTTGTTTAATCAAGGTCCTCCATGAACTTCTAAGGGTGAAGGGGAAAGTCTCTTGGTCACTGTGGCCACCTGCCTGACATTTAGTCTGCATAATCCAAACAAATGGACTAGAGCTGAGATGAATTATGTGCCAAGCAAGTACCCTGAATGCTAGATAATTGGCTACTCAAAATGAATTTGTTTTTTAAATGCTCAAAGTAATGTTTAATCCATGGAGAAGCAGCTTTTTCATGTTTATAAACCTACTGTCCAAAGCATTTCCTTGGGAAGTGGGATATCTTGGTCGACTGCTCCAGTAGATATTGTTTGTGCAATATTCTTTCAAACCTAAGTTAGGAAGAAGTTTTATTTCACACCAGAGGAAATAATTGAATGGCTGTTATATGCGATGTTATTTCTTTGTTAATGTTAAAAAATGCAATTTCATAATTTTACATTCATTAAGCTTCCATTACCAGATATTAAAAGTATAAATGGTAAATGCTGACACTTAATTATTCCTATCCACAAGTTTATTTCTGGCTCTAGATTGATAATTTGTTCAGCTCTACTGTCTTAGTGTCTTAATTTTATCATTTACCTCACCAAGCTGAAACATTCAAGCAAAATTTGATGTTTTTGCTGCATAAGTGTGTGTGTGGTACTTGATGCTGTTCATAACTGTAGTACTTAACTATACCATTATATAAAAGCTGTAAATTATTCAGCTCTTCTAATCTTGGCTCCTCTGTCTCTGTGTACTAGGTTTTATTGGCTGATTAACTTAAATTCAGCAGTTGTCTTTGTCAGCATCTCTTATATCCAGCAATCTGTGGCGAGAAATCTTGGTTTTCTTCTCCCATTTGTGTCTGTGCTTATGGCCATGATCACAATTCACATGGTGCGTGGAGAAATGATTTACAAACCCAAAACAGGTAAGAAGGAACTATCTCTTAGAAAGTGTATTTAGAGACATCTAAATAAGTTGTTCCATAACAATGACCTGTTTAATTGTAGATACCTGGGGAGGGGTTTTACCTCTGTGGAGTCAGCGTAAGAGAAAACATCCTTTGTAAAGATAAATATGTAGATTCAAGTTAGGCTAAAAAACTGAAAGCAGTCTCTAGTGAACTTGTATACATCTTCTGACTTGTCCAGATATAGGTTCAGAGAATTTCATGTACAGGAATAGACACTACATGCATGCTGCACATTACTAATGTCAGTGTGTTTTGTCCAATGCCCAAGGTGTTGAGGTGTGTTGAGGCTGAGGTGTTGGTGCACCAAACGTGCTTGTTTTCACATATAAGCATGCTCCAGAGTTTGGTGTGAAGTTACAACTGAGCAATTAAGCAGTGAGTTTACTAAACTAACCAGAAAGCTTTGTAATATCTCAGTATTCCAGAATATCTCATGCTTATTATTTCAGTGTGCTTTCCAATACAACCTTGGGTATTTGTATGCATTTGAAAATAATTGAAAATACTGAATAGCTCTAAATAGCTCCTAAGCAGACTTCTGATATTTTAAAGCAGAAGGCCTTATACTTCTGTGGTCTCATCAGTTAGCAATTAGTACTAACTAGTACTTCAGCTTTTCAAAATGTTTTGATGACAACTATCTCTCTCCTTTAATCAAGCACAGAAATGCAACTGGAGCCTAAGTGACCAGAATAAGGCTGTAGAAGTGCCCAAATCTTGCTGTACTTTTTCCAGTAGAACACAAACTGAAATTGAGATATGTGTTTTTGTTACCAGTTCAGTCTAATAGAAAAACTATTAGCAGTGAAAGAATGTGTGAACCCAGTATCTTGGAATGTTATGTGATGGAAATACTAGAAAGAAATGCATCCCTTCCCCAATGCCCTTCAAAAAATCATATCTGACTGAAGTATATAAACGCTAGTGTCAACTTAAGTTGTTTTTATAGAGAAAATAGTAATTGTCAAGCTCTCTGGGTCTTGCTGCAGGTCTTACAACCTGAGAAGCTAAGAACAGTCTTCAGCATCTAGCCTGCACTGGAATGATTCATATGAACCAAATCTGGTTGCTTATCTAAGTAGTCTGACACCACTAAAAAGAATAATGCAATCTTGTGTTATACTAGCCAATCTTCTGCTATATTAGTCATCTACAAAACTAGCAGAATATTTCTTGTATTGTTTTTTTCTATGAATGTTATTCAACTTAAGTGTTTTCCCACATCTATGCAGAATACTAATTTCTAGAAAAAATGTGTTTTTATCTCTTTAGTCAAAATAAAATATAATATGCTTTGTATCTTCTGCTAAGGTAGTGAAACATTAAATACATCAAAGCTGTTATTCACATCCATAGAAGACCTTACAGGATTTTTGTAGGCTTTTTTTCTGATGCAACTCTTCAAATATGGATAATGCATTCAGTTATGTTTAGCTGTCAAACATGGACTTTAATTTGCATTTCTTCCATTGCTAAAGATTTTAGGATTGGCCAGAGATGGAGGGAAAAATGTGTATTTCTATCTAGAGTGCAATATAGGATTTTTTTCATTATGATTAAGTAATATAGATATTCATGATTACATCAAGGTCATAGTAGCAGAGTGTTAGGACCAAGATCTTAAGTATAATGGAGAGGGGAAATTTCCTTCTGGAATATGTAATTTAATATATATACAGATAGATGCATTTAAGAAAACATTAGAAATAATAATGAAGAGTATATGATGTTTAACTAGTCAACTGTGTACTTCTGTAATCTGAAAAATTTGCTACTGTGTAGTATTGTGGGATTTACTACTTTGCTTCTGAAGAATGAGTAAGACACATTCTAAATATGTAACTGGCAATATCCTCTTGATATAGGTATATGTATTACTCAAATTCCTGACTGAACTACAACTTTTGTTTAACTATTTACTAGTCTCCTGTTTACTAATCTGCTTTGAATTCTGTTGTAAGAAACATCCGTATTTCATACACGTAACTTTTTGTAGGTAATTGATTGAAATAACACTAAGGAGGTCCTCAGCTATGACGAGCTCTAACTCTTACATTTTTCTGATTATCTTCTTAGTCAGTTCAATCTGAAAGTCTGAATACTTCTTAGTCCTCAGGTCTGGTCTTGAAATACGCTGGATCCTGAGTTTTAGCAATGCTTACAGTGATTGGTAAGAATATTAGCCTAGCAAAGTCATGGAAAATAAAATCTGTATGCAGTGTCTGTTTAGAAGCTTCAGTCATATTCTCTACTTCAGGTTTTATTTAACTGTGCCAACGGTCCACAGGTTAATGCTAGACAGTCATTATTTTTTAAATTTCCATTTCTTAGTATTGGAAGAACATCCTATAGGTGTCAGATGAACATTCTAGAAAATACTTTCAACAGCAGAGTTGATAGGGAAGTATCTTCTGAATTCATGTTATATTTGGACGCTATATAGATGGTTACTGTAGTGCTTCAACATATCAGAAAGGCAGAGAGATGCTATAGCTTTCTTTCTCATGGATGGGCAACTTACCACAGGTAAATATAGCTGTATCTTCAAGCATGCAGGTAACAATTCTGTCCTTGCTATATTTCTTTCTTTGAAGTCTGAGAGCCAAGCTAGCAATTACTTCTGGACAAATTTTAATATGCCAACAACTAGACTGGAAGTTTTTTTCACAGCACACTACTTGGAAGTCCTAAGATATTTCTAACATTGAAACATGTTCCTCAAAACTTTCTATCCCATCAGCCCTCCTTTGAGCTCCCTTTACTTCTCACTTCAGTTCTACATGGCTCTTGCTGGACTTCAGCAGAGATGCGACATTTCATTCGTGTCTTGAGTTTAAATTCTTTCAAGAGAAAGCAAAAACAAGGGAAGGTAATACACTACCTCCCAATATATCAAGTTGTATTTTTCCTCACAAAATGCTTTGTTCTGTTATTTTTGGCAGCAAATCGAAATGTACTAATGCCTTATGTCTGATTGTTTCCAGACAGTTCCCTTCTGACAACTTTTGGGGTAATTGGTAGTGCACTGAAAATGTGCTGTGTGCGGTATCGCTACTTTAGTGGAGATGTATCCAGCTGGTTAGATCATGCCAAGGAATATCACGGTGGTCAGTACAGTGAGACTCAAGTGGAAAGTACAAAGTCACTTGCCAGGCTCTTCCCGTTGTTTGCTTTCCAAATTCTTTACAGAACATGTATTATGCAGGTGAGTAAACAACTTTTCAAACCAAATCTCAAAAAAGACTGTTTACTACCATGTTACAAAGCATGATTCTTAACTGTTGCTTTACCAACAGAATCAACCTTGCAGAATAGTCTTCATCTCATCACGTAACTAAAATCAGCCTTACTGCAATGTTGTTCCTGTGCCTTTCTTCTGCTCATTTCTGTCCATTCCTTTGACTGAAATAACTAGTGTTAAGACTCATGTGCTCCTCATGCTGTTATACATTCTGGAGATTCAGGTTCAGCACTCCTGTGAAACATGTAACTTTCCAATTTCTTAAGTATTCACTCAATTTTTAGGAAAGGCATAAAATCTTTCTTTGCTGTTTCAGTTGCATATTTCTACTGTTCTGGTAGATTTATATATCTGCTGCATCTACAATGGAAATGGGTAGTTTTCCATTTATGGAAACAGTTCTTTCAAAGCCCAAATGTATGAATGATATGTAAATATTTCACGGAGTTGCTTCAACTGACATGATTGCTTCAGATTAATTTCTGACTGGATGATCCTGGCTAAGCAGGAGTTTGAAGCAGCTTACCCTTTGGCAACTGGTGTAACAAATTTAGAAATTCATTTTTAGTTATTGGTTTTAAAATGCGTGCATAGGCTGCTTAAGGAAATTCTTACAAATGTGTAACATATACTATTTCATTGACATTATCTTGCAACTGTTAAATATTCCCGTTCATCTGCCACCTTTCCTTCTCTCACTGTGCTCCATGCCAGGGAGAGTGGAAGACAAAATAAAAACAAACACACAAGTGACTGAGGCTATGTGTTAATGACCAGATGGAAATGAGTCAGGAATCAATAGTCTCTGTAATATCTAGGTATATATCTGGAAAAGACTGCTTGCACCTCCTGAAAGCAATGACATTAAGCAGAATTTCCGATATGTCTAAGGCTTTTTCTTAGACTAGGCAATAGATCAATATTTTTTCATAAAAATTAATTGTATTTTCTCCATACAGATTAACAGATTTCATGTTGATGATAATTTAATTCCTAATAAGAAGTCAGTTCTGATTGTCAATAGGCAATGGAAATGAGGAACCAACATAACTTAGCTTATGTCCGATCTGTCACGATTCTGTTTCTATTTATTCATCCTTTTGCATCTTTTATTTTTTGAGGGGAAGTGAAATATGGGTGACAGTATTTTTATTAACATCTAGCATTTGAATAACTCTTTAGCATGGAGTGAAATTCTGTTGGTTAGGGTTGACTATAATCATTGATGATTAACCCTTGAAGAGCTGGGTTACTAGCTACACTTTAATTTTCAGACAGCTACAAGTAATATTCCATCTGGATTTGGCATTGCCAGTAGCATGGAAAAAGCCATGTAGAAAACTTCAGAAATTCAAAATGCTATGAAAGTAGAAATGAGAGTAAAGAAATCCATTCTACATCCAGCTCTGCCGTGGCTGCTCTCTGTGAATTACTCAAGTTACCTCTTTATTTTCCCATCAGTCTGTAAAATGAAGGATTGTAACTCCTTGATGCTAGTGAAATTTCAGTGCTTAGTATACCAAGGCTCCTCAAAAAACACAAGCAGAAAAGTTGGTTGATATAAGCAGTTGTGGGCTTTGTGTATGTGTCAATAAACTCAGCTGATTTTTTTGTATCACCAAACAAATAGGAACTACTTGCTCTTTGAAGTGAAAGACAGTCTTATAAGTCTACTTAACTTCATATCCTGATGACTACCATTGGTGTGTTGCTCAGTTGATTATTGTTTTCTGGTTTTGATTTACAGAAGTAAAAAAGAAGCCCTTTACATAGCTGCTATGCCAGTCACATTAATGTCAGCCACATTAAGCTGCTTCGAAGACTATGGCTAAATCTGTGTAGCTCTTAAAGCTATGTGATGGCAAGAATATCTTTAAAATATTCTTCCACTTAGAGCAAAAAATTAGAAATCCAAGACAACTCTGCATCATGCTATTCTAAAATGAAAAGAGTCCTGCTGTACACTGTGAAGATATGTAAGAAGTCACTGAAGTACTCAGGAGAATTTATTATGTTGACTGGTTTATTTGATCTTCATTAGAGCTAATACAAAATGACGGGCTGCTCCTTAGATTTGTTAAACTGAGGAATAAGTGAAATAAGTAGATGTTAAAGCCTAGCTGAGAATGAGAGTCACTATTTGAAAGGCTTTTATCATGAATGATTACTCCTTTTGGTTAATGTGAAATTGGTTTTCTGTGACTTCTTGTTGAAGGAGCTTCCATTACAGGAAAAAACATTATCCATAAAAGGTAACTTATAGTGAAGTTGGTTTGTATTCCACAATACAGATTCCTTCAGGATATTATCTCCAAACCATGAATTCCAACTTGAACTTCAGTGGATTTGTATTGCCAATTGCTGCAATGAATGTGATAAGCATTGTGCCACTACTGATTCTTGTTCCAATTTTGGAATGTATTAACTCATATCTCTTCAGCTCCAAGGGAAGTGGACATTCTCCAACGATTTACATTGGTAAGTCTAAAATCTGTTTATGCAGTTTTGATATGTATTTTTGTTTTGAAAAGAAACCTGAGCAGTTAATGGTATGTTTTACTGCTATTTCAAACTATAAATATTAAGATAGATTTGTTTTGGGATGACAGAGCTAGATATATTTCAAAGAAACTTTAGAAAAGACGGTCCTAAAAAATGTTAGATATTTAGAGAAAAAGGCATAGTTTTTATTGATGAAGGAGACTGAAGCTCTTCTGATCAATAAAATGTATTGAGACAAACACTGAGAAAAAACTAAGAGTCATCCTAAGGAACTGGTGAAAGAAATAGCACTAACCATTTAGGCTTGCATTTTACTTCACACTGGTTACCTTCTATATGTTTTTTCCTAATTCTTTACACTTTGTTTAGTTTGAAAGGGGTTTTTCAGGGGGTTAATCTTTGTTGGTAGCTCTCTTATTCTTGAAAAAGATTCTGTTGCTCAAAATGATGAGTTTGGATTTAAATAATTAAGTTATAAATATAAGCTCTTTTTCATATTTTAAGCTATGCTTGTATTGACATTAGGATTGCAGCTTACCAGAATTCTTTCTCCTATGAAGAAAGGTTGAGGGAACTGGGCTTGTTTAGCTTGGAAAGGAGAAGGCTCCAGGGAGATCTCATTGTGGCCTGCCAGTATTTGAATGGAGCGTATAAACAGGAAGGGGAACAGCTGTTTACGAAGGGGGATAGTGATAGGACAAGGGGGAATGGTCTTAAACTGAGATAGGGAAGGTTTAGGTTAGATATTAGGAGGAATTTTTTCACTCAGAAGGTGGTGACACACCGGAACAGGTTGCCCAAGGAGGCTGTGGATGCCCCATCCCTGGAGGCATTCAAGGCCAGGCTGGATGTGGCTCTGGGCAGCCTGGTCTGGTGGTTGGCAACCCTGCACATAGCAGGGGGTTGAAACTAGATGATCTTTGTGGTCCTTTTCAACCCAGGCCTTTCTATGATTCTATGATGATTCTATGGAACTTATCACTGTTACAGTTCATTCTGACTCTTTAATTGAATCCCAAATAGGAAGTAAAAAAAAAAAGTTAGTCTAGTTCTATCTACAGTAGCTATTTTTAAAAATCTCCCAAGTTCTGAAGTCACAGACTACTAGTTGTGTAAACAAACAAATGTGCATCATTATGTGCTGTTCTCAATTTTCAACATTTCTCAAGTGGAAGATTACTTGGAGAGGTACAGATTTCCTCTCTAACACTAGAATTTTAATTTAAGCATGTAATATATTATTGTCCAAGTGTTTAGCATTTTAATAAATATTAATCTAAAACGTAACTTACACATTCCTTCTTATGTGCTTCAGTTACATAAAGGAAGGAAAGGAAGGATTTTCAGAGCTCTTTTTCCTCACAGAAGTAGTGTGTGAAGAAGTGTCTGCTTTTATTAGTCCCAACACTTCCAACAGTAAGCATTTAAGCTTAGGCATGTGGATTTGGGGCTCATTTATGGAAATTCATGGCCTGGAAGCAGTGATAATTTTAGTACACTTTACAACAGGTGATGCCTGATGAAGTTGGACTGCTTTCCTTTGACATTACTCTTCTTCAGTTTCCTGGTCCCCTTTGCCATGGGGTCCCTAACCTCAGACTTCCTCTGTTCTGAGATCTGGAGGGATATCCACAACTGTCTTCTGTTATCAACTACATGCAATTCCACAAGAAAAACAGCTTCCATTCTGTGTTCACTTAAAGCTACTCCCTTCCAGAGATGATCTCATTAAACTTCCCGCATGTTTTATCATGCAGCCTGCATTACAAACCTCAGACAAAAATATTTATAAACGACTATTTTCTCAGTGTGTTACTATTAATTCAGTGCCCCATGGCATGCAGCACAGTGAGCACTGACACACATAGAGGTATTAATCTGCCTAAATTAGCCTAATTAAGAGTGTTATTAAGTTTTATACAAACCAGATGCATATAACACAGCAGGTTGCAATTACCCTAGTTTTTAAAATAACATCTGCATTAAAGCACAGAAAGCACATTCAGATGAAGTTTCCATGGTTTTAAGGAAAACTAAGTATTAATGTTATATCCTGTTACACTGAACAGCAGTAGAATATATGCAGTGTTTTCTTCTTAATAGGTTCATTTATTAAAATAGCCTTCTGTTAGGGGTGATAAATTACCTGAGGCATAAAAAATGCCTCTGAATACAGGCAATGGCTTGAGATATCCAAGCATATGACTGCACCTGCAAATATGGCAGACCTGTAAGTGCCAGTATCTTTGCCAACAGTTAATTAAATTCACAATTATTTTCAGGAACAAAATTGAAAGCACAAATAGGATGTTAGTGTTAAGCTAGCTTATAACTATATTTTAAGGCAAACTTCTTAAGAGGAAGAAATGTAAATAGTTTCCTGGGAACTTTCAGTATGTTAAGAGTATAAGTTTCAAAGACAAACCATGAGACAGTGTTGAACTATCTGATTTATCTATTAAGACCTGTGTGAAAACTGTAATTTGTTACTTTATAATTGTTGGTTTATTTGTAAATCTAGTATGATGTGGCAAACATGAAAATCTTAAAGTGAATTTAGATGGTGGACCGCTTCATGAAAAACATAGATTTAGTATTGAGTTTTTCCTGCTTGATTTAGCCTCTAGTACAGGAAATTCAACAGAGAATGGAATATGTATTTGTTGTATATGTCCCTTAATTCAAGTTTTCTCATAAAATACTGTGAAGAAGAACACTCTCAGACCATGAAGTCTGGGCTGCCGCAGCTTTCCTCTTCCCACAGCCAAGCTTTTCATCACCCCCCTTCGACTAACACTGGTGCTTGTTTGATGGCACAGATAGTTAAGGGAGTAGATAATTCTTCTTTAAATTCTGAATAAAAGGATAATTTCAAACTCGAGTATGTGAGGGCACAGGTTTTCCATTAATAACAGTAAGAGTAGTGAAGAGGTGATAATGTGGAGAGATATATCAGTACCAAGTGAGGAGTACATAACTTCTGACATGAGAGCTTTCTGTTCCTTTGTCTAGAAATGACAGGAAAAAAAAAAAAAAGAAACTTACCAGTTTCCAGTTCTGGAGGCTTTCTGATAACACAAAGGTAGCTGTTGTATATTCCAGTGAAGTGTTGGTTAACAGTATGTGCTGAAGTTAGTTTCTGTTGCCTCAGGTAGCAGTCTCAAGCTGTGGAAATGGTGTGGTTACTTTAGAAATACAGTAGTTTGACTGCACTATTTTTTGTATAGAAAAAAAAAAAAAAAGGTAAAACAGGTATTTCTGTATACTTCAGAAATTTATTGCTGCTTGAATTGTAGGATTTCCCCTGCTCTTAGTACTCAATCTTTTTTGGTATCTGGACAACCTGCCTTTTTTTCTCATCTCCTCTAGTATTAAAAAATAATAATAATTTAAAATATTTTTTTGAAAATCTCTCCTTTATTCTGCATCCCTGCATTCTGTGTATGCTGAGCTGGTATCTCTTTACCATAGATTTAGAATCAAATTCATGGAGGAGGATCTCTTTTCTTGTTTTTAAAATTTTAAAAACTTTTCTTTTGTATGTACTTGGACTCTGCTTCACTGTAAGTATGTGGTATTCCTATAACTGCAACCTTGGTGAACACTCTGCTCTTAACCCAGTTGCAGGTCAATTATCTGCTGCACTTTCTGTGATGGCTGCTGGCTTCTCTGAAATACACCGAAAGCATTTTCCTCAAGTGGAACAGACCCTTTCTGAGGAGGTTCTCCTGGTCTCATCCATGCCTTGCTTCCACTTAGCTCCTCAGTACATCCTGCTTGGAGTGGCTGAAGCCTTGGTAACTCCCTCTTGTAAGTAAAACCTGAAAGGCTAATGCAAGAGCATCCTGATATGCCAAGAATGCCACTGCCTAAAAATAAATTTATTTTGTAATATTTTATCCCCGGCTCTGTTTCAGAGGCTTTATTTTATCCCTGGCTCTGTTTCAGAGGCTTAATGTGTGGATTTATTCTTTACCTGCTTTGGGTAACAAAACTTGTCTTGCTGACTGTAATGTAGTGGTATTGTTCTAGTTAAAGGGGAGGTGCTGCAGCCTTGTCAGGCCCCAGGGTTGTGTTGCTTGCCATCTTGTGGGAGATTATGACAGTAGGATTCTGGGCTTAGGACTTGAAATGGAAGCTGCTTCATGTAAGGGCCAGTCCAGATGGGTTTTTGAGGTTCCTTCAGTTCTGAACTATTCTGTTCCTGATGATTTTCTTGAGACTGAACAAATACTCTTGATAACTGAGCCATGGTTGCAGTTTTTGAGCACATTCAGGCCATAGCAAGGAGAAGCAATTTAGCTTACCCTTTTCATTTAAGGAACCATGTAATAAAATCACGTGATTTTTCCACAGACATAGAGCATATGCAAGGAGATACCACAATTTAACTGACCTAATAACTGGAAAAATATTGTAGGCAAAGGCAGGACTACTGTTTGTACTCCATTCTGAAGTCATGTGAAGATGCTTCCACGGAGCATCATGCCTTAGTTGGTGTAATGGAGCCAGAAAAAACACTCCTGCAGAGCACAGGCAGAGCTTAAGTCATGTTGGTCATCCATAAATTATGTAGATGCACTTACGATTGTGAATCTAAAACTTCTCTCCCTTCCATATAATCTACTTTTACACTTTTACACTGACACACTTGAGGCTTATTATTTTCTGAGAATCGCAAGGTGTTTTCCTTGCAAAATGTATTTAAAAAGTTATTAACAAAAATAAACTAATGAATGTTCATTTAAAAAAAAAATATAGGTAATGTTATTAACTAGCTGATCTCCACAAGTATTTAGTTTGACAGGTTGAGTGTCTGTTCTCAGTACAACCCCAGAAATGCCTGAATTTTTATTTAAGAGCAGGAACAAATTTTGGCTTCATTCTTGCACTGTAAGACTACTCAGAACAGTGGGTCATGGTTTGTCACTAAAAAGGTAATTTTCCCTAGTTTTAAATACTTAACACCCTCATAATGCCTCTTCATCCGATTTGCTCTCAAGTACTTAATTGAGATAGGTTTCTAGGCAGGTTGTGTGGTTTCTAGGTTACAGGTTAAGTGTAGCAGAAAACCGTGACCTTCTCTGTTAAGCTTAACAAAAAAAGTGGTTAAAAGGTGGCTTGCTTACAGTCTTATGCTGCTGCATGAAAAGAATATTTTTGGTGGAATAAAGCTCCTAACTAGCATGGTAGAACACAGCACAAGTCCAGTGACTGGAAGATGACATTAGATTAAAAACAAAACAAACAAAAAGATGCCCTACAAGACCAAGTTTTACTTTTTTTTTTTTTTGAAGAATTATTGTTAGAATGCATTGGGAAGAAAACTATTGTCTTTCATTCAAATAAAGACTAAGCATCTCACTAAAAGCTACAGTCATAACTGTGATTAAAGAACCCTTGTACTAAGTCAGCTTGAGATTTGCATGGGAAAAAAATAAAGGTAGGTGCCTAGAATCAGTAGATTACTGCTATTTTCAGTTGAGATGCAGGCTTGCATTCCTTTGCCCACAGGTAGGTGTCCTAGCACCTCATGTGATAGAGAATTAAAGATGTACATGCAGGGCAAGCAGGCTCCTTTTATAGTACCTGCCTGGCCTTTAGCAGCTGTTGGGGTAGAGTATGGTTCTCCAATAGGATCTGCATGCCCTGAGGCAGCCCCACGCAGATGAACGAGGCACACTGGAGCATTTTGGGCAGTGTTTGGCATCTCATTGGCCTGCTGGTTTTTATTTCAGTCTGAACTGAATTACTGTACAGGAACCCTTCACTAGATCCACATCAATGGTAATGACAGCCTAGACAATGAAATAGTTGTTTCACCTTTCAAGACGTTTTACTGCCTGTATTATGCAGAAGGTCAAATTCAATTATCATAATAATTCACTTGGTCTGAAAGTACATGATCCTAGTTGAAGACGGAAATGTTCACACTTGTAATCAGAGGAGAGAGGAGATATCTCATTTCTGGAGTGACTGGTTAGAGAAGCTAGGTTTGGCATATTAAACTCTATCTGTTTGATCACTGGTACTTACAATTGTTTATAAGATATATTTCATTATCTTGTTGATAGGAGGCTTACATAATCACCTGCCTTGGGTGGCATGAAGATCTTTAAGAGTATGTAAGAACAGTATATAAATTTTGCCTAATGCTGAAGTCTTGCTTAAAATCTCTATATATAATGAAATGATAAAATAACTGCTCTCTTTCACTGTTAGAATTTAAGATCATACACACATTCAGGGAGCTTGAATTCGCTACCCTAGCTTGCTTTGAAGAAGGAAATTACTCTTCTAAAGCTTAGCGCTAAAAAAAGAAGTGGGGGAGGAAGTCCATCCTGTGGAGCATCATTAGCAAGCATTTGCCCCTGCAGTGCATGAGATGAGGATGGTGATGGGGAGACATCCTACTGAGCACAGCAGCTGTGTTGCACTGACAGCATCTGAGCAATTGGGTGCTCTGTAGCTGCTTGCCCAAAGTTACCAGGTTTACAATGTTTGCTGTAGCACTGCTATACTTTCCTTTGCCCATCACCATTTCTCCAAGCACTTAAAAATGGAAAGCCTTGTAACAAACTGCTCTATTAGTTAAAGAATATATTGGGGATCGCTTCACCCACCAATGAAATGCTGTGGTCTCCAGAGTGAAATGCAGCAGCTGGTTAATTGTTCACTGTGGGAGAAGTGAGGAATGGAGTATGCAATTGAAACAGCAGGAATAATTTACTAAGTAGGATACTATTACCAAGCAGAATTTTGCCAAGATGCATACTTTGCAGCCTGGTGATGAGGGGGACAAAATAAGCCCATCAAACGCTTTCCAGGCTCTCAGACTCAAAGTAGTTAAGACACTGACAGTCCAGTGTTTCAGACTATATTTTTCCATCTACAGATGATGTCCTGGGCTCACCTGCTTTCTCCTGCACTCAGGCCTTTGGCTTCTATTGGAAATGAGGGGGAAAAAAAGAACACTGCCCATAGTACCTTTTCTTTTTCTTTTTTAAAATGTTTCTAAATGTCTAATTTGGACATCCAAATGAAAAAAAAGATGGAAGACAGTTGCTGTGGAGTTTCATTTGATTTCAGTGATGCTCCAGGCAGCTCAGCATCCAGATAGGCTTCTCCATTGACAAGCTTCTCAGGCTGGGGGTCATTCAAACTCAGGTAATAAAGCAGACTGGAAGATATTGGGGCTTGGAAAACTGTTCTGGATGAGGGCTCAAGGTGTAACATTGGGGAGCAAAAGTTTTGACCAGGGAAACTTGTTGAAACAAAAATTGTTATAAGAGTTTGCTGTTACTATAACTTACTTTAGCCAATTCACAAGTAGGGGAATTACAGTCTTGCATGCTAAAATTATATGCTGCGCACTCCCACATCTAAAGTTTTCTTTTCTAGTTTACTCTTCTGGCAAGCAAGTGAAGGACAGTAAGTTTTAAAGTAGTTAGTGACCCTTGGGGTTTCGGTCTGATGAAATGGAGCACTGCCGAGCCTTAAATTAACTCAAATCAAGTGTCCTATTAAAGGCAGTACGCTGAAATTCAGAAGTATTCATCAGTGACCTTGCTGCACTGGCTCTGGCATGTGAGGTCCTGAAGTTAAAAATCACATCTGCTTTCTTCACACATCTTGTGATGGAGTTTTCCTTGGGTTTTTCTTAACTTTTATGCCAACAGATGTAATTGCCCTTCTGCAGTAGCTTTTATGGGTAAAATATACAAAGTTCGTATTAACACAGACTGGAGATTTTTCTCATATCTTCCACCATTGCTATTTCAAAAATAAAACAAAGCTGTCGCTGTATCTGCTTCTATTTTAAAGGTTCGTTGCTATCATTCTGGCTTGTACCGGAAAGAATTCGAGGAATTTCCATGCATTTTTTAACTCTCTTCAATGGAGCTGGCTGCTTTATGGGAGCTTTCTTTGTTCAGACAGCTCACACTGGCACTCAAGGTAAGAATATGCGCTGGTGTTCCTGAGCAGTTTTCTAATCCCATTGATTATTGATCTGGAGCAATAGACAGCACAGTTGAAGGGAATGCCAAAATTTTATTGATGTGCTTTCACAATGGGATTAAGATAGGAAACAAATGAATACAGTTGTAAAGCTAATTTTAATGAGTAATCTTAGTTTTGATAGGTGGAGTAATTAGAGAATGGCACTAATGGCAGGAAGCCCCTACCTCCAATCTCTATTCTACTCTGGAATACTAGAAAATAAATCGTCTTGGATGTATTTTTGTTGTTGTTGTTGCTAGTGAACAAATATGTTCATGTTAACTACAATTATTACATGGAGGCTTTTGGCCATGACAGCAAGCTTACTGCTTCAGAGAATGCAGAATACATCTCTTCTGTTTCACTATGTAGTAAAGGAAAGGAAGCTGGATTGAGCATTTCAAAGTTATCCAAGGGATTTATTCCCCCAGACACACTTCTCCTTTCTTGCAGTCTTTACCCCTCTCCCTTTCCTCAATTATAGAAGAACCAGATTCTGTGACAACATGGTCTTGCCATGTGTTTCACCTTTTTTCAGGCAAATAATGCCATTCCCGGAAAACTTGGTATGTTTCAAGGTGAGTTATGTGTAATTTGGTTTAATTCTTCTAAGCAGTATTTAGTTCAAGCCCCCAAACTGGAGCTTTCTCTGTGATGCTGTCTTCAAAGAAAGGCAAAGGGTTTAAGGTTTTTTTCCTTTGCTGATAGATCTTTGTTCAATACATATGACTTTTTCATAAGTAAATTTGAAAAGGGATGCATTTGAGACCTTGAGCTGAAGGACAGGGATTCCTTTGTTTACATATCTGAAATAGGGGTGGTTTTTAAGCTCACACTTCTGTTAGAGTTTAATTACCAGGCAGGCAAGCGTCGCCTGGAGATGGGTAAAAGCAGTGGATGAATCAGGCAAAGAGCCATCATGTACAAAGGCATCTGTGGCAGTGAGCAGAACTGCTTGAATTTCCACCAGTGTAACAGACTTTTTTTTCATTGTACAATCATAAAATCGCCAAGGTTGGAAAAGACCTCCAAAATCATCTAGTCTGTCTATCTACCACCAATAGTTTCCCCACTAAACCTTATCCCTTAGTACCACATCCAAACACTTGTTGAGCATGTCTAGGGAAGTATTCCTGCACTCACCCCACCAGGCTTCTGTCTTGGTGTCTTGAATCAAAGTAAGCTTCCAGTTTAGTTTCTGAGGCTGGACATAGCGTGTAACAATTACTTGGAGTTGGTCTTGTTTTATATGAAAGCATTTCTCATGAAATATTCATATTCTGTACTTTTCTGAATTTTTATAATGTGCTTCTCAAGGTGTTCCTTTGTGCTTCCAATGAAAAGCTTTAGATCAGCAAAGTAGTAATTCTTTAAGTTATAAAGATTAACAGTTAATTGTTGAAACTTCTAAAGATGACAGAGCTTCAAAGAACGAAATGGTGACCTCTCCTGAATGAAGTAAGTTCAAAGGACATACTCTTGCTTTTGGTATTTTTTTCAGCTGTTTAAAGAGCTTCTAAAACATTTGGTACCTGGTCAATTTAAGAAATTGTGGAGAAAAACAAACGACTCTGATATTTTTTTCTCTGGAAAGCTAAACCAATTTAACTAAGATGGGAATTCATTCTTTTCTTGCTGAAAGAAGATGACAGTGTTTATGCAACACTTTTTGTAGGATTTAACAAGTCTCAGCATGTAATTCTTGGGCTATGGATGCTTTTGCTTTATGCAGTGATTCTTGTTTCACTGAACTTATGCCAAAACTATTTCTGGTTTTCCATATTTAAGCAATGTGGCCATGATTGCCATGAGGCAATTCAGGATGCAGTGAAGAAGATCCTCCAGTGTATATTTTGAAGCATAGAGAGTGAGAATATTATTTAAACCTTTTTATATACTACTTCATGTCACTAGTTTAGGAAATTATTTAGATTTTTATTGGCAAAGTTGATCAAATATCAGTCACAGACAAAGCTGCATTAATCACTTGTTAATCACATTTATGGGGGATGGTGTGAATATGATGAAATATAACCTTTTTTTAAAAAAAATCTGACGAGTGCAAACAGATGATGGGTGACAGTGATATTTTCAGTACAAGCTGGGGAACTGCTTTCTTTTGGATCTTTTACCTCTCCCAACATTTTAATGGAAGAAGATGCAAGACACAACCTGTCCTCCTATGTCAATCATTTCAGAGTACTGTTCTCTAAAAATATTAATGTAAATATGTGGGGAGGGAGGAGGGGAAGGTCAGAAAGGAAACTGCCCTGACACAGTTGTATTGAGATATCTGGAAAGAGAAAAAACTAGCTTGGAGCTTTTTGTGATTCTAAACACCAATGATGATAAAGCTAAAGGATATTTCTTGTAGTCCAGATGGTAGTGTCCATTGGTTCCTACTTAAGTAATAAGGATTACAGAGAGACCAAGACTTGAATTCGGATATGATTAAACACTGAATATATGCCTGCTAACTTGATGAAATTATAGGAAGTGCAATTCTTTTTTAAGATATGATTTTTTTTCTATAGTCACATTCTATGTTGAAGGATAGAGTTAAAAATACAGGAGTTGTACAGAATGAGCTAACCTCTTCCATATGATTTCTTTGCTTTATCTTTTCTACTTTCCCTGTACTAAAAATGATGGTATTATTCAGTAAACAGTGCCTTCCTATGTGACTTTGGGCTTCACTGTGAATCCCTTGAGAACTCCAAGGGTACCGCTACTGTGACAAGTACCTTGTGTGCCAGCACATCTGGAAGATGTCCTTTCCACATTCTCCTTCATAGCTTATTTTACTGTCTGTCACTAATGGGGTTGTCCACCACAACTAGCACAAGTCACTGATTCACCTACTTTTTCTCCTGTGTTGGAAGGATCAGGTTTTTTTCTTGGTGTTGTATCATATTCCTCTGCTCTATTTTTGCATTTTTGATGCAAAATGGATAAGGCTGGTGAATGTTGGTGCAAGTTTACCAGGCACTTTTAATTTGACAACATCTGGTAGCAATGTTGAGGAACTCAGGATTTTCCTGGGCTTAGTCTTCTAATTCTTTTCTATATTTGCCATGAAATGCATAACCAGTTCACCTCTAGCAAATAACAAAAGGCTCTTTAAAATAGTTGACTGAAGGAAACTTCTGGTTCTGTGGTGATTCATGCTACTGAGTATTTCTATTGTTGGAATAAGAATGGAAATCAGGAGCTTGTTGTAGAAAGTTAATTCCCAGTGAGCAATTATCTATGTGACAAACCAACCTTGTAATTGGCACTTCTGTTGGCAATCTCTATAGAAAAGTAAAGGATTGACAGAACCCAAAGGCAGTGTCTTTTGGGGAAAAGTGAATTGTTAGCATATTGCGTTCTGATTGAAGGATTAAAAAGTTCTGAATTCTTCAAACACAGTAGTGCCAAGGGCATCTTATTCCATCAAAAACAAACAAACAGACCCAATAAGTTCCTAGCATTCATAGCTGAGAATAAAATTCTGAAAACATGAACCAAACCCAGTCCGTGCTAGATTCATGCTAGATATGGCTTGTGAAAGCTTTTGGTGGGGCAGGGAGCAAGGTGCCTAAAGGTAGTTTTGCTGCCCAAAATGCGTGGTGAAAGTTACAACATCATTGGCTGTTATCCCAAGTCTTCCTGACAGCAGAGGACTCTCTGTGCACTGTATGTGAGCAGAAGATAATGTGGCCCAAGTATAACACTTGCTTCATTGGGAAGTCAACCTACTTTTAAAAGGAAAAATAGAAGCACGTATTTGTGACAGAAACTAGGAAGTCATTAATTAATGCTGGCTAGTAAAAATACATATTGCCAGACCAACCTGATCTTTGAGGTTCTAGAGGAGGTAAAACGAAGGCAGAACTCAAGTCTCCTAATGCCCGTGTTCATGTTCCACCCTGATGGAACCAACCAGTCTCACTTTCAACCTTTCAGTATGGTTCCTTTCCTACCGTTAAATAGTGTCCAAAATCTACTTCACTTTTTCTCAAAAGCTGCTAAATTCCTTATATATAGCTTAGTACTATTTTAAAGTCCATATTTTCTCTTTGGTTTACATTGTAAAGTCTATTCCATTAGGAAACTCCTGCTGTTCGTATAGTTAGACCAGCTGATGTAAGTAACCTGGCAGACAGTGTGAACTCTGCTTTGACAAGCTGTAGCACCAAGCCCCATGTGTACTTCCCCTCTCATCAGATAGACCCGCTCTCTCTGTGAGCTCTGTCAGCCGCATGGGGATGCAAAATGAAAAACTACCTGATTGTGAATTATGACAGTAAAAGTTTATAAGCTACTAAAATGAAGTTATAGCACCTAGGAGCTCAGTCAACTGACAGTGTTAAGTGATACGTTTTAAAGCTCACTCTGAGATAATGCTACAAAAGGCACCAGGCGTGGAGGTGAGGTGGTGCTGTGCTGTGACAGGCAGGAAGGTGACATGGCACAGAGTCAGCTGAGAGCTGGGGGAGAGCTGCTGCACTGATGGCAGGTGTTCCCTGACAGTCCCAGAAGAGAAAGAGGTAACTGCTTTGGAAAAAAAAAATAAAAATGTGTTTACTATGCCAAAACGTGGAGGAAAGATGTGTGTGTGTAATCATATTTTTTTTTCTCTCTCCAAATCTAATTAGTAAAAAGTTAACGTGCTAAGAATTGCATTGGATGGCTGAAGATGTCTTCAGTGGTCAAAAGATAAATTGTGGTATCAGCTCTGTACAGGATAGTTATGCCATAGAAAGCCGTTTTCTTCCTCTCCCTTTTAAGCTAGTTCAGGTGGTGAATAGTGACCCATATAAATGGGAAAGACTTGGTACCTGAATCTGAGGGAGCAAAGAAAGGCATATTTGTGTGTGTAAATGCTGGTGGTTTAGTTCAGGTCAGGTGTGTACTTTTGACTTGTATTTTCTGATCATCTCCATTTGTGCATTGATTTGCAACACAGCAATCTTGGACCACAAAAAAAAAAAATAATAATTCCTTTGGATGAAACTAAATCCCCAAAATGCCTGTGCTGGCTGTGTTCCAGCTGCTAATGGGAATCAGCCTGACACAGCCTTCTGAGCTGTGTGCAGTGCGGGCATTGGGTTCTCAGCCATGGCTGAGTGCTCTTCTTGAACTTCACTACTTGCTAATGAGGGCAGACTCTCCTTTCTCAAAGGCAATAAACAACCTGTGCTCCCAAATAATGTAGGAGGTCATTATAGCACTGTACAGCTCTCTGATATTTTGTATCTACAGTCATTTCTTTTTTCACCTTGGTTTTACCTCTCATTGTAGTTGATTATAATGCTTCAGGAGGTGACTGTCTTCAGATTCAGTCTGACTGGGGCTTGCTTTCCTGTTAAGCGTCTCAATTTCCATAGTAATAATTTACCACCTGAGCTTATTTGCTGGCTGTAATGAGCAACACTGAAAGCAAGAATACAGGCAGAGGCTCTGGGTGTGCATTTATAGGTGGTACTGTTTGATGTTGAAGGGAGTCTTTCTTCCAGAATGTCCCAAGCACTGTTGCTAAAAGTCTCAGTGAGCCAAAGCTCTGTGACTCTTGCAAATTATGTGTACAATGCAATGATGTGTTACAGACTCCTAGTTAAAGGCAACCATAGAGAAAGTTAAATGTCAGCTAGCATCTTGGTAATGGAGCAACACCCAAGGCACTAAAAATTTTTTTTTTTGAAACCAAAGCCTGTTAAAACCATGAGAGATTTCTACAAACCACCTTAAATCTAACCCTTCCTAAAACTTTTGCATTGACATTCATTTAATGGGATAATGGCCTGGTCATGACTGTAATAGCTATGTAGTTAACTTTCCAATGTGCTTCAGATTTGTTTAAAAAAAAATTCTTCACTTTATGTCTGCATATCAGAAGCAAAGTGCTCTGTAGACTTGGAAAAAAAAAATACATAGAGTGAATTAAAACTGTGCAAATAGCTACAGGGGGGTTCAGGTCACCTGCTGTGACTGTGTATTACACAAGCTTCTCTTTGTGTCTTTCATAAAAACTACGTCTCACCTTGCAAGGCAAACTAATTCTGCTTCAAATGTCTGCTTTGACAGGCAACTGGTTTCCGCACTTGCTACATGAAGGTAAATTGGAGAGATTCTTCTTCTTCTTGGCTTCCTTGATGATGGTGAACACCTTTGGGTTCTGGACCATTGCACACAGGTATGTGTGAGGAAGTAAACTTGATGTTTCATTTGTTGGTAGGGCAGAAATTCTTGCAGAACCTGTAAGTAGCATGCAGTACTGAATTAGTAGTGATTGTATGACGTTGTCCAGGATTCAGAATTCTGTGGACTTTTTCTTTCCCTGAAGTGGGAGATTTCACAGAAAATTTGTGGTAAGACTTAAAAAAAAAAATAAATAGCCAACGGCATATAATTAGCCTTGAATACCTTAAAAGTCTTTTAATACACAAAATGTCTTGTCCTTTAGGAAAGGATTCTCTTTTTAGTACATAAATATGGGATTAAAACTATAGCACCAAGGTATTAAAACCCTGAAAATGACTTACAGTGCACTTGCTTATGTACCAACATACAATAAATGCTGCTGTCATCCCTGTGAGCCTTAGCGTAAGGCAGTAGAAGTGAGAGCTGCAAAAAGATAGAGGTTAATGCTTGATGTAGTGGTCTCAACAGAGTAATGGAGAAATAACTTCCAGTAGTCTGAGTAGTGAGATGAATGAAACTTTTTACTGGATATAATGGAATTGCTCAATTAGCCTCCAAAGAGAAAGCAAGTCTATGCCACCTGTAGAGCCAAAGTTTAATGCTCACATATTGCCTGTAAAATGCAAGGAATTACAAGCTGCAATTCACCTTGTATCCAGGATGGCTTCAGAGCTGGCCTGCATCTTGTATTCTGGAATATTTAATCAGTTTGTCAGTGTTATAAGGAATTCTTGTGGTTAAGAATGGAGAGGGAAGCAGTGCTATCATGAGGGGGGAAAAGGTCATGTGTAAATGGCATTCTCTCAAGATATCTGGCTGCGGATCTATGAAAATCTTTCAGAAGACCTGAAATAGTGATTTGATAATGACAGTAATAGAAGATTTCCAAGGCACTGGGAGCTCTTGAAGAAAAATGCTCCTTTTCCTATTACATATTACTCTAACTTTGCAGTACCAACACTTACTGTAGCATCTTATCACTTCAATGTAACCTGAAACACAAGTGTCCATTTGTACAGGTAGCTAGTTCTCACTTCAGTTCTTTTAACTGTGACCTGAATCATGGTTGAAAATATTTCTCTTCCAGGTACTTTGTCTTGTATTCTTATAAAATGAGATCTTTTTCTTCTGTAAATTGAAATACCTATTTGTGTCACTTAGTGTTGAAAACTGAAGGATTTTGGTTTTCAAAACTAGTTTAAGCTCAACAAATAACTTTGCTACAAATTAAATTGTTTTTAGGAGTTAACAAAATTCTCATATTTTCTTATAAATAGGTGGGCTGCTCCGAAAGTAATGCTTCCAATTACTTTCTTGGCAATTACAACAGCTAGAAAGAGTACAATAGCACCATTTGATAGAGCAAATTTTCAGCTACAAAACAAAACTTTTCAACCACCAAATGCACAGCTGTACATTTTCAAAAGCAATGAACAAGAGCTGCAAGCTACGATCATACAAAATCTGCTCCAGCTGTGTCAGTGTCACCAATGCTGAAACAAACCACCCACCTCACAGTGCTAAAATCCACTGTTTGGTCTCCGTAAGCATTCAGCAAGCATTGATAAATGTTAATGGATGCATTTTTTTCCACATGGAGGAATTCAGTGAGACACCTTTGCTTCATAGTCACTTCAGTGTCAGACACCATTTTGTCAGGCTGCCCCTCTGCTGCCATCCATCCCAAGGCAACAAAATGTAACAAAATGTTGATGGGAAGGTTTAACCTCTACCATACCATCAATATCTGCATCTGACATTATGATCCAACATAATAAGATAGGAGGCATTACTTTTGGAGCAAATATTGTGTGTATATATTTAATTTTAATATTTAATTTTACTTCAAATTGACATTTCATTACAATATCGAGGTATTTTATTTTTCAGTAAGATGACAGAGACCAACATGAAATATATTTTTGGGATTAAATGTTACCGTTTCATTTTGTGCCAAATTAAATTCTCATACTTGTCACTTTGCAGAAGGGAGAAAAAAGGATGAGACTATACAGATACAAGCACTGGTTTAAGTGTAGGAGGATATTAGCATTTATAACTCTGAATTAGAAAAAGTCTACTGAAGTTTCTCTGAGAAAAGCATGTTTGCAGAACAGTGTTTTTGTGCACAATTCCAGATATTAATTGCTGTTTATTCATTGATAAAGTACTGCTTTTATTAATGCTTGCATTAAGTTTAGCATTTCTTGTCCTTCTGTTATGGAAGTTTTCATGAAAGTGCACATTGCTACCATATTCTTTGACTGCTTAGAAACTCAGGATTCAGAAGGCACTTCTAACTTGTGTGAAATCAGTCCCAGAAAGGATGGCTTCCCTAGTGTTTTTCTTCACTGTTTTCCTTCCCAGATACAGCAATCTGAACCAGGAGTATATCAGTGAGTTCAGAGGAAGTCTTTCTGAGGAAAAAGAAGTCTGTCTGAAGCATGACAAAGTTGTTGAGCACTATGGTAGTGTCCTGGATCATTCTTCCATTTTGTCTCCTATGGAGACAACCTGAAAAGTTTCACCCTTCTTGGATTAAATTTTGCTTGTTAACTGCAAGCTTTCTAATGAAAAATAATGTAGTGCACTTTAATGGAACCACCAATGTAGTTACTAATCACCTTAGGACTAATGTTATTTATAAGTTTACAAAATAGCAATTGTCTTAGGATTTAGCCTTGTAGGATGCTGCACTGTCATAATGCATGCCACTGACAATGAGAGCTCACTGCTTTGCATGGTTGATGTAGAGATGCTTTTAATCTGTATAGGAAAAAGGACAGGTATTCATGTGCATTTATGATTAATAATGATTAAAAAATAATAAATTCATGTATATATTTGTTTAGCAAATTACTGTGACAGTATCATTTGAAAATAACTTTGTAGGCAGTATTAATTAATTCATACTTGTGAAGGTGGGAGCCTTGTGTTATTCCTTGTTAATATTTATCTGATCTTTGATTTCAGCAAATTGCTACTTCACCTTAGTTTCCTTTTCAGGAAAATGGACACCGCCATGCTAAACTTTTCTAGAGATTGCCTTGAGGTCTACCAGGAGTTCACTGATATTATAAGCTAATGACAAATCTGTAAAAATCTGATGTGAGATACTTGTGCTGAGGCATCTAGCCATCACTTTAACAGAAACATTGTGGGATTTGTCATTCCTAGAGGATGTTATACGGTAATGTTACTAGTGTGAGATCCAGAGGCTACAACTTATTTAGATCAAAATAACTAATTGTTACCCAGTTGGAGAGGGTGAAAGGTGTTAGGAAGATGTTAAGGGAAGTGTGGATACAGCTGCAAGTTGAGGAAGAAACTATTAACAAAATTGAAATTAATGAATTAATGAAATTAATCTTAAAAATCTAAACAGTGTTAAGCACTCCCAAAACTCGCTGATCAAACCTTTTAAAGTCATATTAATAAAATGATAATGAGGAAAGTATTAGGGTTATCATGTAATAAAGAAACATACAAAACCCAAAAACTAGAGGAACACTTTGATTAAAAGTTGATAGAGTTGAAAATTTAAGTCATCAGAATGCTACCAGACACAAGAAATGCTATACAACAGGAGAAATCACACTGAATGCACACAGTGCTTTGAAGTGACACGGTAGTTTATGCACTGAAACTGTAAAAGAGTTGATGAAGGTAATCACAGTATTGTTATCCATTTAACCATGCTGCAGGTATAGGCTGGGGTGGGGAGCAGTGAGGGGGAAGCAAAATGCTGTAAGTATATCTAAGAAGTAAGAGGGAAGGCAGTCAGGATTGTCTCAGAGCTGTTAGTTTGATCTCACTAGTATTTAAGGTTTTGTTTAAAAAAAAAAAAAAAAAATTAAAAGAGAATTTTTAAAGTCATGAGATAAAAGGAAAACTGAATAAAATGCAATGCTGATGTATCAAAGGTAGACTTGCAAGACGACCTTAATGCCTGTGTGTAATGAGCACTCATCTTTTAAACAAAACATAGTAGAGATGATCCGCCTTAATTTCAGTAAAGCCTTTGGCATATTTCTCAAGGGAAACAACTTGTGTAGATGAGAGTCAGCAGAAGGTGGCTGAGAGACCAGTTTAAGCCCAGATGGCAACAGATATTGTGGAAAAGAGAGGTACCCATCTGCAAGTAAGCTTTTGTGGAACTTGTTTAATATTGTCCTTTGAGATAAAAGGGAAACTGATCCTGGGATGTTTCTTCCATCTCCACCAACACAAGTATCTTCATGCAAGCTCGTCAGTAATTATTGTCCATGTTCAAGAGGTGCTTTCTGACTGAGACAGTGATTCAGTGGCACAGCTGAGTGTGCAACTGGCTGTTTGCTCTGTGAGGGTTTTTGGTGGGAGGGAGGAGTGAGTGGAGGAGGGCTGCCTACTTGTCTCACCCTGGCTTCTGCTTGCCGGCATAGTGAAGAGGAGAAGACTCCATGGGTCCCAGAAGAGAAGAGACTCTATCTACCGAGAATCTTGAGCTTGCGCATTGTTTTGTTTAGGTTTCTTTGAGAGAACTTTCTGAAGCAGAAGATTTCTTTTCAAGTCTCTGAGACCTGGTCTGTGAATTTCTATTTCTGTGCTGCTTTAATCTTAAAAAATCATGTACATCTGAGTGTTAGAGTTTGGGTATGGCCTTCTGATGTGCTGTCTTGGTGACTTCTCCCCAGCTAGTCGGTAGCAAAATTTACTTGGCTTCTGTGATGATAAGATGAATTTTTTAGAAGCCTGTGGTTCTGGTGATCCTCGCCATTCTGAACATATGTATTTCTTCCAGTCATGCTTAGGAAATTTGAGATCGTACCCAGTGAGACTGCTTTTTCTCAGAGATCAAAATCTGAAAACAGATCACAGCAGAGAACATAAAATATTGCAGTTTAATTGTCTGATAAAGATCTGTCATTCTGAAAAAAAAAAAAATCCCTGTAAGGAAGGATCTCTATCATGCAGCACTGCAAGAAAGGCTTGCAGGAATGGAGAGTGAAGCATTGGGCATCCTTCATAAGGAGATATTATAATTACATGAATTAAAATGGGTTGTAGGGTGAATATTTGGTTGTTGTTATGACAGAGCAATTCAGCAGTTACACCTCAACAGACAGGGATGCTTCTCCCACTGGAGCATTTGGGGCTGTATACAAAAATAATGGAATTATTTTTAATTTCAGACCATTCCTACTTTTTATAAATCTTGTCCCAGCATGTGTGAAATAAGTATAAAGGACTTGTAGCTGTGGTTTTGACTTTGAAAGATGCTGCCTTTTACATCTGGGTTAATCCATTACGAAAAATGAAGAGAATACAGAGGCATGCATGCATATGAAATAACGTAATAAGCAGCTGTAAATTGTTAAAATAGCCTTTTGTTCAGTATTTTGTTGATCTATGACATTTCTCATGGGAGACGATAAAACATTCAGATCACATGTTCATGTTGCAATGCACGAAGTAAATGCAGATATGCATGTTTTGATCATTATCATAAAGGACTGAAGCTTCAAAATAATACGTGGAAGAAGTTGCCTCCAAACTGGGGTTCACAGGCTGTCGGTGAACAGAAACATCCCAGTTCAGTTTTGTAGTTTTACTGCTTAAATTTTCCAAATCTTGTCCTGACAAGCAATGAAATTAATATAAAGGAATCTGTAGATTCAGTCTTGACTTTGGAAGAAGCTGCTTATGTGCTGTCTAACAGATCTGGTTATAACTACTTAGGTGCAGTGCTCAGAAAGGTCAGTACTAACATTGAACTAACATTGAATAGCCATATGGAGTGCTGAGCATTGCTGGTGCTGTTTTAAGGGTTAAATGTGTGCTTTATTCTGTATTCATGTATGCACATATGAAAAATGAGTTGTCCCAGACAGTTCACTGAGCACCTCAGTTAAGTCTAAATGTATGGGACACCATTTCAAGTGCGGAAGGGTGAAGAAAGCTCGTTGGTGAGGATTAAGATCTCCATCTGTTAAGTTTGCACTGATGATAAAACACATGCTCCCAGTTGGAACAAGATGCATTAAAAGAGCAATTTCACTTCTACTGCCTAGCAACAATGTCATTGAGCACCTGCAATAGTTTAAACATTAAGCATAATTGGCTTTGCTTGACATAAATCTGTAGTTTTGTAAATAAGAGCAGTTGAGTTTCCATGTAATACCAATTAGCTATGAGGAATGCTTTGTTTGTTGAAGCCTAAAGCTTTGCAGAGGAAAGAAGGAGCTGTTAAGGCTCAGCAGTAGTAGTCAGAAGATAGGACCTGGATCAGACACTGCATAGACTTCATGAGTGTCCTTGTGCAAATTATTTAATCCGAGTCAGGTTCTCTGTCTGTGAAAGGAGTAATAACATTCTGAACTCTTTTTTGGTAAAGAGCTCTGAGTGTGTCTGATTAAAATGTAATTTTACAGCACTAAACTGATCTCTGCGGGTCTGTGCTAGATATCTTTTTGCCTTCTTTTAGGTGGAACTACTAGTGCATCTGAAAAGATTGTGTGCATTTCCTAAAATTGCTCTTTTTTTTTCCAGTTTCTGGAGAAAGAGGTGCCTGACCTGCTTGATATAAAAAACCACTCTTGCTTAGCTTCTCATTCTTGTTCAGCATCTGTGGGAAATCTGGGTAGGAAGGAGTCAGAAGTCTTCATGGCCCCAGAATTAAACCTTTTGGACTTCAGCTTGGTGTCTGTTTGCTGTAACATAAACTAACATGCCTTGACAGGGACAGACATAACTGCCTTCCAGAGTGTGTTTGGAAAGACTATTTTTATTTAATTCTTTACAATAAAAATAGGTTCACGAGTCTCCTCACTGTGTATCTGCTCTAAATAGAATACAAATTACCTCTTCCTTTTTACCTTCCTGATTTGAAGCAGTGCTCACTGAAGAAGTATTATTCTGTTGGTTTAGTTCTTCAAATTATTCCAGCTTCAGTCTCTGTCTGTAACCTGAAGTATAGATTTCCTTAATTTAGAGAAAGTTGATGGGGCAATTGACATCTGAACCTTATGAAGTCTACTAGTTCTGGTGCTGGCTTTTTAAAGTTAGTTAATCAGTACTTATGCACAGTGAGAGTTTAAAGTAAAAAGAATTTATCTGATAATGATTTTTCTGTATTTTGGAAATGCTTCATCTCTGCAGAGGACTGGATAACACACTAAGGATAACAAATCATAAAGGCAATTTGTGTTTTTTGTTGCGGATGTGCACACTCAGAAAATAGGCAGAAATTTTCTTAAAATACTGTGTGACTGGTATATCTTCCTACTTTTTTTTTTTTGCAATTAAAACAAAAAAGTATATATACAGTTTGAATGGAGGGTAGCCCACCTCTTTCCAAACACCAGGGTTTTGTGCAGTACCAAAATATCTGTTTTTTCTCAAAAGAGTATTACATAATTGGAATGCACATATCTAGAAAATACTTCAGTTATTAAGTTTACAGTTTGGGGGTTATGCTCCTTTCCTGTTACTGTGGGAATCTCCTATTCAAGTGCTTGCTGCACTACCTCTGGAATAGTTTAGATTAGAGCAGTGAATGGAAACTGAGTCTTCTATACCCAGCGGAGCACCTCTGGGATGGAGGTTGAACAAAGGTGTGTTGGGTTTTTTAACACATGAAAAATAATGAAAAATAATACAAAATATATATATTTTTTAATTTTCAACTCAGAAAAAGAAATGCTTTGAAATCTTAAAAAACAAAAACAAAAACAAAAAAAAACCCACAGATCAACAACAAACAACCTAATAATAAAAAAAAAATCTGTCAGGAAACAAACAGAAGAACAAAAGCCCTTAGCAGTCAACAAAAAAAAATCTGTCAGGAAACAAACAGAAGAACAAAAGCCCTTAGCAGTCAACATCTGTCCTCCCTGCATTGTAGACTGTGAAAAAGCATCTTTTGAAAACAGATCCTGAACGTTTTCCTTGTCCTGTCTTGTGAACTTCAGAAGATCTCAGGTTGGGGATAATAGTTATAGGAGTGCTTTTAAAGAGCATGGCAAGTTTTCTCAGCTTTGCTGTAGGGATGGTCAATGAATGCAGTATGTAAATGCTGTCTACTTGGCTTGCTGGCAGAAAGAGGATACCTTTGAAACAAACAAACAAAAATCTCGAATTCAAAAGCAATTTTAAGTAGTAACCAAAGGTTACCAGAAGGTGTTGCTTGAAAGCTAATTCAGCACTGTGCACAACTTTGCATTTCTTTACGTTGTCTCAGAGTTCTCTTGTTGTCTTGAAACTGTTAGTTTTAAAATGTTCAGTGTATCAGGTGAAAAATATAGAAACCTGAGATAATTTCATAACTTGCTGACAGATGATAACCTCTTCAACAAGCTTTGTCACTGCTTATAAAGAGTTGTCACTTAATGGAAATGCTTTTAAAGCTTAAACTCTTTGTAAAGTAAACTTTAATGTTGGGAATGCTGTATAAAACTTTAAACACCAAAAGTTCTGCATATATTTTCTATGAAAAAGAGCAAGGGGATGTTCACCGCTTTAAGGAGGACACTTCAACACAGAGATTCAAATATATAAATTATACAGATTTTGCAAAAATAAGTAAAAAGCTTCAATAACAGAGCAGCAAACCATACCAGGGAGACAAGGTGATTATTACTGATTTGAAAATAATGTGTTGTGGGAAAGTTTTCTGTTATTACTTGGAACAGGAGATTCTAGTTTATCAGAGCATGTGAGAGTGGATGGAGGTCGTCTTTTATTACAACATACAGAGGCTTTAAAATAGAATAGAATAGAAATAAAAGTAAATACACTGGCATAGAGGGAACGCTTATTTCATGCATTGCTTGTAGTTCAAAAATTGCA